AATAGTTAAAGAAATAGGAAAATTTGGATAATGGTGAAATGGGAAAGTACGAAGCTAACATGATTGAGGCATAAATAGTTAAAGAAATAGGAAAATTTGTATAATGGTGAAAGGAATAAGTTTGGCCATCAATTAGTTATGTTAAGCCTTTTCTGATGAGGCTCCAAGTAACGACACGTAGCAGCCAACTAGCAAACTCAATCAAGCCTACAGTTCATGTCATTGTCCTACCCAATCGAGTTGAGGCCACATATTGAAGTAGCCGAAGTGATGCATCACCTCAGTCCAGGTGTGCGATGAAGAGGTCGATTCTCTATAGCCTAGGCGAAGTGCTATAAACTACTACAAAGTGAATTCGAGGCAATTAACGTTTTTACTAAGAGAAGACATCTCCACTTCACCTTTCCAAGAGATCTTTCATACAAAATCTTCTTATAATTGATTGATATGGCATCTTTACAATAGATGTCTAAATGATCAACTTGTCAATCTACTTTTCAGAGGTCAGATCTAAGCTATGAGGTGGCTACTTTTCAAAAACATTAAATACCCCTTAACATATGATTGATGGAGTGATAATTAGAAGGAGACGCCTCAACCGTCAAGATAAGACCACGTGTCTTTTTATCTAACAGTAATCACTCATCATTTTCTACTATAATAAGTGTTATTTGAAGATAATACAATTTTACATACTCAACTATAACATTGCTCTCTCATTTTGTTATCTTGTGAGCCCCTGTGATTAATGTGGCTCAAGTCTTTCGATCATTTCACACCCAAATATACTCATACAAGTGAGTGACTTACTTGATTGTGAGAGTGTATGCGGCCGCCTTCCCCATCATCGAAAAAGGCCACATGCTATTACTTGTAGGTTATTAAAATAAGTAATTTGAAATACTTCAAACGGATCGAATTCATAATCTCTCTTTAAGACGATTTTGCCATCTCTAGAACTCAAGGTTTTGAGCAATTATTTCATGGGATAGAACAAAGTTCCTACAGGAGTAGCAGCTCAATACTAAAGAAACCACTGAACACGACTTCAGCCTTTTATCACTGAACTTTGACACTAACGTTATGTTAGGCCCCAAAATAAGTTATTCTAAGGATCTAAGTTTGCAACAACCACCAAATTACAGAAAATTAAAGAAAATCAGAACACACAGGATTTTTAGCCCCAAAGGTCCCAGATGTTCAGTCTTCCGACCTAATCTCCCGTTGAGCATCTGTAATAAGATATAACTCTAGATCCACTAAGAAAAACTAAGAATCAGTACAGAATGTACGAAGAAACCATAATTTTCTTCGAGTTCTTTCTTGCCTCTATTACAAATCGTAATCACATAACCCTCAATCTCTAAATGACTGTACATAACAATCAGATACTCACAAAGAACATAGATTGAAAACCAACAAAGATTGATTACAGATTTGCAAGAGAGAACCATAACTATCACTCAGAGAAAGAGAAAAAACACGAAGAGTCTGGAAGAATGAAAACCACTTCCCAAATCCAAGTGCTAAGACCAAGTCACGTATATATCCATCTCAACAGTCACAATCCAATGGTCAGAATAGTGCTACGTGTAGAGCAGATTCTCAACCTTCAAGAAGCAAAATCGTGTTCGCTTAAATTGGCCCAATTGCACAAATGGCTCAATAGGTCAAGTAATAGTGAGGCAGCCCAATATGCATTCACAATCTCCACCTTACTAAGCTATTCCTTGGCCTTTACTAATGGATCTAGTCATCTATATACATTGCTTCATTTGCTCTAAAAAAAGCTGTAAAAGAAAAAAAAATTAGTTCAACGCTTTTCAACAACAATACTTGAAGTTCTAATTATCACAACAAGAGGTGATATTTAGAATCTTCAAGCAATTTCTATTTAAAAGTAATACATTAGTCCCCAAATCTGAAGGATTAAATTCTGTAGAAATTTTAACCAGATTGATCAAACATTTTTCTGCCATATTTCTTACAAAATGAAACTTTATGTCTATGTATTTAGTTCTATCATGATAAACATGATTTTTACTCAAGTGAATGGCACTTTGATTATCAGTGTAAATCCTAACAAAATCATTCATAAAACCAATTCCATTTAACAAACATCTTAATCACGTACTTTCTTTTACAGCATCACATGCATCAATATATTCAGCTTCAGTTGAGGACAAGTCAACTAATTTTTGTAACTGTGACTTCCAACTAATACAACCATCACACAGAGTGAAAATATAAGAAAATATGGATCTTCTTTTATCCAAGTCACCAGCAAAATTAGAATCAGTGTAACATTTCAATTTTATCCCTTCATTACTTCTTTTAAATTCTAAACATAAATCATAAGAGCCTTTAAGGTATCTCAACATCCATTTCATAGCTAGGCAGTGTGTTTCACCTAGGTTGGCCATAAACCTGCTTAAAATGCTAATTCCATGTGCTAGGCCAAGTCTAGTACACACCATGAGATAAATTATTAAACCTACAATGTTTGCATAAGGTGCTTTTCCCATTCTTTTGAATTTATCTTCTGTTTTAGATGATTGTTCACTGGTCAATTTAAAATGATTAGCAATGGGCAAAGTAACAGGTTTACACTCAAGCATAGAAATTTTTTCAAGTATTTTCTTCATATAAGAGCCTTATTTTGACAACAATATGTAATTATCCCTATCTCTTTCTATTTCCATTGTAAAAATCCTTTTAACTTGTGCCAAATCTTTCATTTTAAATTTAGATTTCAATTTTGACTTAATGAAATCAATTTCAGATCTATCATGACAAGCAAATAACCTATCATCAACATATAATAGCAAATAAATGGATTCAGGTCCACCGACCCTTTGAAAAAGAAATAGGAAACATAATTGCTTTTTACAAAACTCAATGTCTGCACATAAGAGTTAAATTTGATATATCGTTGCCTGGGGACTTGTTTCAACCCATAGAGTGATTTCTTCAACAGACAGACCTTTTCAGTTTTGGATTTAACTTCAAACCCCAAAAGTTGATTCATGTATATAGTATCATCAATGTCACCATTCAGAAAAGCTGTTTTGACATCAAGTTGATCCAATTCCCAGTTGAAGTGAGCAGTAAGAGCTAATAGAATTCTGATTGAGGTATACTTAGCCACTAGAGAGAATATTTCATTATAGTCAACTCCTTCTCTTTGAGTAAACTCCTTAACTACTAATCTGGCTTTATACCTCCTTGTTTGATTTTAAAAATCCACTTGCAATCACCTATCTTTTGATTTTTAGATCTATCAACCAAAAACCAAGTTCCATTTTTAACAAGAGTCAATTTCATCATTCATAGCCTATTTCCAAAATTTTGATTCAGAACATTTAATGGCATCATCAAAAGTAGCAGGTTCAGATTTCAAGGAGTCAAGAGTAGAAAATAAGGTAATAAATTCATCACTATTGAATCTGGTGGAAGGTCTTATATCTCTTCTTTCTCTATCCCTAGTTAATTGATAATCAGCCAGAGTGGGATCAGCATATTCAATTTCATTTTCAGATTCAATTTGCTCATGATTTGACTTAGATTGAGTGGACTCCACCTCAATCAAATCATCTTGATTAACAGTATTTTCAGTTTGATTTTTCAGGACATTTTTTTTAACCGGTGCAGTTTCAAAAGTTTTAAGATCAGATGATTCATTACAAGGCATGCCATTTTCATTAAAGATGACATTTCTACTAACAATCACTTTATAACCATTTTGACATTTGACCCACAGTCATACCCTTTAACTTCCTCTCCATATCCCAAAAAAACACATTTTAAGGACCTAGGTTCAAGTTTACCTTCAATTTGTTGTGAATAAGCAGTGTAGCCAAAAACTTTGAGTCTGTTGTAATCAGGTATTTCTCCAGACCACAGTTTTTCAGGAACTTGAAAATCAATGGCACTGGATGGAATTCTATTTATAAGATAAGTTGT